TGACAACTGGTCATAAATTATACAATCTGATTGTACAATCTCCTTCGGAGCCTCTTCACACCAAATTCATTGGGCCTACGCTGGCAACTACTCCCAGCATAGAACTAACACGTAAATGAGGTAAAATGCTGTGTTTCCAATGGTACCAGTCCACATCACAGTGTGCTGTTAGCCCTGGTTCACACTGTGCAGGCTGGTTTTGGGTGCACATTTGTTCCTGCACCCGCAACCCATTCTCAATGGCAACCCCACACATCTCACCCCTCAGTGTGTTTGCAGCGGGTCTAGAAACCACAGAGAAATCACATGGTCAAAAAGACCATGCAAATTCCCTGCGCCTGCATTTTAAAAATGTGCGCGCACGGGTATTTTTTGTGTGTGGAAAACACAGGCACGGCAGCCCATTCACATGAATCAGCTACCATGCCCGCAAAAACACGGGCCACACAAATGTGACCAGGGCTTATTCAGATCAGTGGGTTGTAAGGCAAACCCAGCATTGGACCTATGCTGTGGTGAATAGATCTGTATCGAAACAGTACATGTGACATTTCAACTAAGTTCTGTGAAAGAAAAACAAACAAACAATGCAATGTGTCACCAACAGCACATTGGCATCATGTCTCAGCAGCACATCAGTGGTTGTGTGATAAGTGTGCCTTGCTGATGTGAACAACCCATTAGACCTATCCAAACTATGTAATACAAACCGAAACAAATAACATTGGTATCCATTCAGGCCATCCCTTGTACTACTTAGGCTTGGTTCACACTGGATGCAATTTAAAATTGTGTGTGTTTTGTTTGTGATTTCACCACGTTTTCTGAAGATCTGTGACATGTGATCAGCACAGGACCAATCAGCGCTGTCCAGAGGGTGGGGGTTATGCAGCCCCATAGGACAGTCAGAGGAGAATGAAAACTTCTCCTACAAGCTTTATCCAGTTCTCAGCTGGACACTGATACAAGTCACAAAAACTGCTATATACTGCTGATGAAAAAAAAAGGTATTTACAAGTATTAATGTACTAAAATAATTTCATTTCCATGTTGTGAATGCTGTCGCAGACCAGATATAGTGAATGAAGGGTCCTGGGTTTAGTAAACCTCTAAATAAAAGTCATTTTTTTTGGCATTATCAGTCATATTTTTTAATATCAATGCCTAAATTTCAAGATTTCTGCTAGGGTATGCAAACTTTTAAGCACAACTGTACAAGGCTTCCTCTGATTGGCCGGGGTGGAGATCATGACATCATCTGCCCACCTTTGACTTACCCATGCTATTTACCATAAGGACAAACCTAAACAACAAATAAATGCATTTATAGAAAATTAGGCAGACAACTGCACTACATGGTTGATGACAAAGCTAAAGGAATTTGTACAATCAAATTGTATAGTGTATGGTTTCTTTAAAGTAGAATTCCAGATTTAATATCACTTTACACAGTACGTTTGGGCCAAAGTGGCCCAAAGCAGCCATTTCAATTGAAGATAATGTGGCCGCTATGATTGCTGTATTGGCCTCTAGCAGCGTTAGCTACATACGTACAGTAAATGTCACTGTGTTCCTGCCAGATATAAAGATCAATCAACATCAATCATTCAGGAAAAGCACTGTATTTGTATCAATAAATAAAAGGCTATCTCTGATTGTCTAAGGTGAAGCGGCAGGCTGATGACATCACAATTTCCACCTTGGCCATTTAGAGGAAGTTTTGTATTAATAGTGCACCAAAATAAAAAATTATTTGACCGAAACTTCAGAATGCATTTGGCCGAAAACCAAAATGCATTAAAAACACATCATAAACACGTGTTGCATTTTGATGAGGTTTTTTTAAGTCACGTGACCTATGAAAAACACACCCTAAACATTGTAAAACTGCGAGTTTTTAGCAGCCATTATCGGCACCTTTTTTCCTATCTGCAAAACGCCGATAGCACTATATTCGGCCGATTCATTTCGGCGCATCCCTTCTTGTATTTATTGCTAAAAATGCAAGCCTTTTCCTGGATGGAGGAGAAGCACTCAGCTCAACTCTCTTTAAATCTGGCAAGAGACAGGAAGCTGCCCATGCTCAGTGCAGATGTCCCCTCTGAGGAATGCCGATTACCGGCTCTCCTCATGAGCTGTCAGCGTGAGAGGACTGCCAATAACCAGCATTTCCTATTTACATGTGATCAGCTGTGATTGGACACAGCTGATCACATGACAGCCGGCATCATTGGCTCTTTACAGTGATCGGTGATCCGCTGTGTCCCACCGATCCCCACACCATGCGCCCCTGAGGGTGCGCATGCGCAGTTAGAGAGGGAGGACGTAATATTTTGTCCTCCCAGAAGGAGAGAAACTGACGTCTGCCCGTCATTTCCTTATATGGTGGGCAGGAGGCAATTAAACATGGAATCCTACTATAAGATGGGAAGTACCTCAAACTGGAGAAATATCTTCTCACTTCCTGTGTTTACAGAGCAGAAAGTGAAGGTAAATCCTGTGTCTACAGAGCAGGAAGTGAAGGTAAATCTCTTAAAAGGGACACAGACGGCAACAATCTGGGATCTGGTGATCCAGCCTTTAAGTCTGTTTTTCCTCAGCCTCCTTTAACAGACCAAGCTGTGCAGCAAAAGTGGCAGTTAAATAGTTCAGAAAAAAAAACAGTTAAAGTGATTGTAAAGGCATTCTCTGACGAAGGTAAAAAAAAAAAAAAAAAAAAACCTTCTGCATGCAGCTTCCCCTTCTGGCCCCCCTAAATATTTACCTGAGCCTGATCTCAATCCAATGATGTGTACAAGAGCAGAGACTCTCTCCCTCCTCTTTGGCTCCCACTGGTGTCAGTAACGGCCATTGAGCAGGAGCATGGCTGGGGCCAAGTCAAGCGTGTCTTGTGGACACACAGAGTGGGTCTCAGCAGTGAACACGCAAGAGTTTCCCCGTAGCAAGCGGTTTGCTATGAGGGCACACAGTGGGGAAGAGAGGGTGCCAGGAGCACTGGAGGAGGATCTGGGCTGCTCTGTGCAAAACCACTGCACAGAGCAGGCAAGTATAACATCTATGCTATTTTAAATTAAAAAAAAAAAAAATAAAATCTGCTGTTAATCCCTGAGAGCAAGCAGCTTTTTTTTTGCAATTTTTCTTCTGCGATAAAACCGCACTGCTCTCAGCATGAAAACTGAGCTGCTCAGCTTACAGTGGTTTGCCCGATTCCCGAGTGCCGGAATGACAGCCTCCTGCGCACACACAGTAGTGACGTCATCCCAAGCCAGCAAATGAGAAATGGCTAAAAATCAGCACACAGAAGATGCAGGCACCGGTGAGGGATGGGCCACTGAATGAAAGGTGAGTGTAGCTGCCTTTAGCTTTGTTTTAAAGCTAAACTAAAGTCCCCAATAGTTACTTTATTTCAGCATCTTCTACCGGGTGCTGTGCTCTTAACAGCCGGTTTCAGTTGTTTTTATTGGTTGGTGAAGATCAGTTTCAATTTGTTAGTTAGTCAAGTTCATCTATAGGTGGCCATAGCAGGATTAAAATTCAGCCGGTCCAGCAGGAACTGGCCAAATTCTGATTCATCTATGGCAGTTGAGAAGAACTGATCTGACGACTGACTCCTCTTGAACAGGACTGTTGATAAATTTTCAGCAAAGACCAGCCAAATTTCCATCCATGTAAGGGCAGGGTGGCTGTACAGAAGTTGATCAACCAATCGCCTTCTGTACAACCTCCCTGTTAGAAAATTTCCAATCGATCAGCCTCCAATAGCTCAGTGGGAAGGATTCAACTATTTGATTCAAATGTGTGGATGGGGGAATCAAGTTTTTTTTTTTCCTTCTTTTTTTCGTTCAACCCACTGAAGAAAAAAATAATTTGTAGACTGCCTAACACTTCCCTCCCTCCCAGAATGACAATGCTGAGGTCCACAGGGGTCTCCATGGCTGCTCCAAAGGAGACACCCTAAGGCCCGGATCACACTATTGCAGAGCATGCAGCCCGCGTTTGCGTGGGCACAGCAGCCCATTCATTTAAATGGGCTACTGGGTCTGCGTTTCACACAAGGAAAAGATGCATGCACCTTTTCTGAAACACATTCGCAAAAAAAACGCATGTCTTTTTGGCCATTCCTGCGGGTCCAGCACCCGCGGTCATGCTGCTGGATGAGATGCGTGGGGGTGCTGGTCATTCTCTTCTCTTTCTGTGTCATGCAAGAGAAGAGTAATGCGGCTGCGGGTATCACATCGGATCCTGCAACTGCAACCAGCGTGCTAGTGTGAACCTAGCCTAAGACTTTAGTCACACTGAATCCAACTTTGAAATCATTTGACTTCACTTGAAATTGCCTAAATACTAAGTTGGATGTCAGCGCAACTTCAGGTGCGACTTGGAAGACATCTGTGCGATTTCATGCACAGGTGTCTATGAAACGCTAAATAACAATGCATGAACTACTTTCAAAATCGGTGCAACGCTAACAGAGTCGCACTTATTTGTCCGCTACCATTGCAGAGAATAGGGAGCAACTTGTCATGTGATTTGAAACCATCAAATCGCATGACAAGTCGAACCATTGTGACCTGGGACTAAGACAGGAAGTGTGTTAGTGGCCGGATCAACAAGTGAAAACCAAGGCGGCCCATCCAAGGGCTGGTGAGCTGCGATATATGACATTTTAGGGTTTAATCCCGCTTTAGCCTTCCTAATCTACCTCAAATGAAAGCAAAGTGTTAGCTTCCAGTATAGACAGTGCTGGAAAGCTGGACGACTAGAAGGGCCAATGTGTGAAAGACTTGTAGAGTCCTTGGGCAGCCATGGAACAGTTATATAGAGTTCAGCTAATGCTGGGTAGGCACGACTCAGTACACACGAAGCAGGGAGCTTAGGAGGACAGAATGAAGAGTACAGCAGGGCGGCTGAGGAATAGCAGGACACCTACCATGTGATAAACTCTAACTTGTGCCTCTTACTGGCAGGCCTACCCAACCATGTGACCCGGCCTCACTCACCTCATAGAAGGCCTGCACCATCTCCACCAACACCCACTGCTGACTGGCCGCCATCACACCAGAGGCCGGAGCGCCCACAGGAGAAACGACAAAACCGAACACTTCCTGAACTGCTACTGACAGCGGTCGGTGGGCGTGCAAAAGAGTTAAGCTTCGACACTATTGGTGGTAACTACGTGACGTCAGACAGGAAGCAGAAAAGTGCCGGCGCAGAGTCATCTCATCTAGCGAGTAGGCGTGGTTTAGGTGGCTCTCTCCAATGAGATGGACGAAGGAGGGGCAGCTCCTTGAAACTGGTAGTGGTGGGGTGACCGTTGAGCGAAGGCGTTCCTTGTTCAGGGTTTGTGCTCAGCTCTGTCGCCCTCTAGTGGGGATTTGTTGGCTGTGTTTGAATTGTCTTTTGTGGGCCGGTTCACACTATAGAAACGCAGTCAGGATGCCTTTCCGCATGCGAGTTTTTTATACCTGTCACATCGGGTGCGACTTGGCATGCGATTTGCATGCCATGCCACTTGCAAATCGTATGCCAAGTCACACCCTATTGTCCACAATAATGGAGGACAATAGGGTGCAACTTGGCAAACGATTTGCAAGTTGCATGGCATGCAAATTGCATGCCAAGTCTCACCCGATGTGACCGGTGTGTTAGCCCTGGTTCACACTGGATGTGACTACGCATGCGATTTGTATGCCCTGCAACTTGTAAATTGCATGCCAAGTCTTGCCTGATGTGTTAGCCCTGGTTCACACTGGATGCGACTCGGCATGCGATCTGCATGCCCTGCGACTTGTAAATTGCATGCCAAGTCTCACCCGATGTGACCGGTGTGTTAGCCCTGGTTCACACTGGATGCGACTCGGCATGCGATTTGCATGCCCTGCGACTTGTAAATTGCATGCCAAGTCTCACCCGATGTGTTAGCCCTGGTTCACACTGGATGCGACTCGGCATGCGATTTGCATGCCCTGTGACTTGTAAATTGCATGTCAAGTCTCACCCGATGTGTTAGCCGTGGTTCACACTGGATGCGACTTGGCATGCGATTTGCATGCCCTGCAACTTGTAAATTGCATGCCAAGTCTCACCCGATGTGACCGGTGTGTTAGCCCTGGTTTACACTGGATGCGACTAGGCATGCGATTGGCATGCCCTGCGACTTGTAAATTGCATGCCAAGTCGCACCCGATGTGTTAGCCCTGGTTCACACTGGATGCGACTCGGTATGCTATTTGCATGCCCTGCGACTTGTAAATTGCATGCCAAGTCGCACCCTATTGTCCGCAATTAGAGTGGTCACATCGGTGCGGTTCTGACTTGGTCGGAGGCGCACTGATTTCAAAAGTAGTACTTGCACTACTTTTGGTACGATTTGCATACATCTGTATCAGCCCTGGTTCACACCGCCGCAATTTCAGGTGCGATTTGGGAATTGAAATCGTGCATAAAAAATGCAACCTGTTCTAGTTTCTTTTCTGCACACTGGAACGCACTGGAACTGCAAGCACTGATGTGAACTATGACATTGACAACCATATAGCCTAATTTCTGTGCATTTTGGATGCAGAAAAAAAGCAACCGAAACGCATGTAGTGTGAACTGGTTCTTCAAACGCAAAAAGTTGCGTTTCTGGTTCTATAGACTTCAATGGAGACGCTGCAGAAAGACATGTAGTGCATTTTTGCTGAGTTTTTGACACGTTTTATGCTTTTTGTGTTTCAATCTGCCTAGCAGCAATAAATAAACCCACAAAACGCGGCAACAACGCATTTGTGCCGCGTTTTATATGCGTTTTGCTTTTTTTTTCTTGTTGTTGGCTAGGCAGATTTAAAATGCAAAACGCATCACAAGCGCAGGAAAAACACTACATGCTACCTGCAGCTTTCCATTGCAATCTGTAGAACCAAAAACACAACTTGTTGCGCTTAAAAAAGTCCCTGACTCTTCCCAAAAAACACACGGGTGAAAATGTGCAGATGTAAACATGTCCCATAGGAAATCATGCTAAATGGACTGTGCTGCTTTTCTGCAAAACGGAAACCGCTTATGTGTGAACCTAGGAATAGCCGTTTTGACGTATTTTTGCTGTGTTTTTGCTGCGTTTTGTGTTTTTTTCAACTTGTTACTGGGCAGAATAAAAAGCAAAATGCATCAATAACGCACTACATGCTTTTCTGCAGTGTTTCCATTGAAGTCTATAGAACCAAAAATGCAATGTTTTGCATTTAAAAAAGTCCCTGACCCTTTCCAAAAAATGCCCCGGGTGAAAATGAGGAGATGTGAACCTGCCCCATAGGAAATTGTGTTATTGACTGCTGCAAAACGCAGTGGACAATGCATAGGTGTGAACCTAGACTTGGGCTCTGTTCACACCAATGAGTTTTTTTCAGTTCATGGTTCACTGGACTGCATCTGCTGTGAACTAGCCCTTAGGGCTGGTTCACATCACATGCGTTCCAGTGCGTTTTTTTTTTTTTCTGCATCCAAAAGGCACAGAAAGTAGGTTACATGGTTGTCAATGGTATAGTTCACAGTAGTGCTTGCAGTTCCAGTGCGTTCTGGTTCTAGAAAAAAGAGAACATGCTGCACAGAACTGTACTGAAATGCGGTAAAATGCATTGAAATGCACTGGAATGCATCAAAAACACACTGGACCTCAAATGACCCCAAAAAGGAGGAAAAGAAAGCACCTGGAATGCATCAACAATGCACTGGACTGTGTCATAAACGCACATGAAGAAATGCATCCAGATTGGTTTCTATGGTGTGAACCGGCCCTTAGGCTGCTTTAACACTGATCCGTTTTGCTTCTGCGTTTAAAAAAGCGGAAGAAAAAACATGTAACTATGTATTCCTTCGGAACTCATCACACTGATCTGTTGCAGGTCCGATGCTTTTTTTTTTAAATCTTGCTTGCAACATTTTTGGTGCGTTAAAAAAAAAACACACTAAAAATGCACCTCCCGATTGAAATCGATGGAAAACATGGCAAAAAATGCATAAAAAACACACCTACGTTGCATTTTTGGTGCAGTTTTTTGAGTCAAATGTCCTTTAAATAACACCCTGCAAATGTGGTAAAAGTGCGGTAAAAACATATGCATTTTTGTCACGGATCAGTGTGAACGCAGCCTTATTCATGGTGGGATAATGCAGCCTGTGAGAAGAGCAACCTACTGTGTGTATAGCATACATGTTACAAGAGATAAATACATATGATATGTGATGAGATCATTTAACCACTTGCCCTCCAGAGGATTTACCTCCTTCCTGACCAGGCCATTTCTTGCAATACGGCGCTGCGTTACTTTAACCACTTGCCTACCAGGCACTTATACCCCCTTATTTACCAGGCCAATTTTCAGCTTTCAGCGCTGCCGCACTTTGATTGACAATTGCGCGGGTCATGCAACATTGTACCCATATGAAATTTTGATCATTTTTTTCTCACAAATAGAGCTTTCTTTTGGTGATAGTTAATCGCCACTGGGCGCTTTACTTTTTGCACTAAAAAAATAAAAAAAAGTGTAAAAAATTTGAAAAAAAAAAAAAAAAAAGTTTCTTTGTTTCTATTATAAAATTTTTCAAACAGGTATTTTTTCTCCTTCACTGATGTGCGTTCATGAGGCAGCACTGATAGGCGGGCACTGATAGGCAGCACTAAAGGGCACTGATAGGCAGTACTAATGAGGTGGCACGAATAGGCGGCACTGATAGACAGCACTAATGAGGTGTCACGCATAGGCGGCACTAATATGCAGCACTAATAGGCGGCACTGATAGGTGACACTGATGATGGGTACTGATAGGCACAACCCCTGGCACTGACTGGCGGCACTGACTGGCACAACCCCTGGGCACTGACTGGTGTGGTGGCACTGGTGGGCTGCACTGGTGGGTGGCACTGGGCACAGGTGGGTGGCACTGGTGGGCACAGGTGGGTGGCACTGGTGGGCACAGGTGGGTGGCACAGGTGGCACAGGTGGGTGCTGCTGGGCACAGGTGGGCGCACTGCTGGGCACAGGTGGGCGGAGCTAGTGGGCGCACTGCTGGGCACAGGTGGGCGGAACTTGCGGGCGGCACTGCTGGGCACAGATCATCAGGGCACTGATCATCAGTGCCCTGATGATCGGTGCCGATCCCCGCTCTGACAACTGCCGGTTCTCGGCAGTACTTTCCTCACGATCTGACAGCATGAGGAAAGTGCAGCCGAGAACCGGCACTTGCATTTCCCTCTGATCAGCGTGTCATTGGACACCGCTGATCACGTGGTAAAAGGCCGCTGTGATTGGCCTTTTACCACATCACGTGATCAGCTGTGTCCGTAGGACACAGCGATCACGAAGATCGCCGGGTGCGTGCCCCCTGGGGCGCGCAGGAGAGCGCGTTCTGGGAGGACGTCATATGACGTCCACTCAGAACTGGCCGGCCGCAGTGCAGCCGTCATTCGGCTATCTGCGGTCGGCTACTAGTTAACTGACAATTGCGCGGTCATACAATGCTGCACCCAAATGAAATTTATGTCCTTTTTTCCCCACAAATAGAGCTTTCTTTCTGTGGTAATTAATCGCGTGTTTTTATTTTTTTTTTGTGCTATAAACAAAAAAAGGCCGACAATTCTGAAAAAAAAAAAACAATATTTTTTACTTTTTGCTATTAACCTCCCTAGCTGTCTGATTATGTCAGTATTTCTGTGCTCAAAGCGGTACATTTTTTTTGCATGGAAATATGTTGTTTTTTTTATTGTAGGCCTGTAATTTTTAGGAATAACTCACTGAAATCTGTCCGAACAAGAGTCTAGTAAACATCCCGGGTATGATAAAATTTGAAAACAGAAAATCAAAAGTTATAATAAATAATCACAAAAAATAATATAATAATAATAAATTTAATTCAATAATGTAATCAAACAAAAAACACTGAAATTTTAATTATAGCGCCAAGTTCGCACATCACTGAGCAAAGTCGCAAAATCGTTTTTTCAGTGTCTGATGACGAATTTCCCCACAAATCATTATCACTCAATTCTGCAAGTGATTCTAATTTACTATTGCTG